ATATTTGTGGTACTCTCCCATTCACTGCTCTTCAAGTTAACCCAACTATGACGATTTCCGCTGCTGAGAAACCCGGAAATGTGAAAAGGGTCCATTCTCTCTCTCTGCGTGTGTGTGAGAAAGCGACGGCGAGTCGTGTGCCTTCACACTAGAGTTTACGGTACGTCAAATACAGTTAGACATCATTTAGTCGCCCAGAGTGAAGATTTAGTCGCATATGCGAGTGATTTACTCGCAATGTATATGGTTGCAATATTATGTTACAATACTACTTTTTTGAACGGCATTTTAATCAAATGTATCCCAGGTGAGTATTCGAAAGAATATGTCCACTGTGAACAGCCTGTTTTTTTAAGGGAACTGAAGGGAGATCTGTTAGTGCAGAAATTTCGATTATTCCTGTCATTTGATTATAATTGTCATTTAAATTACTATTCCGTGACTTACCTGTACGTTAAAATAAAGATTAAAAGAAAAAAAAATTAAACATGAAATTAAAACAGGGTTGATTACATAACTGATTGAAATACAGTAATTCTTAATTCAATGGGTTAAAGGCCACCTGCTGGACAAACACAGAACAAGTTGTTAGAACACACTGTTAGAACTTAGTCCAGACCACCAGTGTGAGTGAGTTTGATATTAAACAGCACAGTGCCACACCGAATCCCCCCTTAAAACACCATGCTGCAAATCCCCCGGTGCTCTCAAGCATGCAAAGATTCCGGGTGCCGAGACGTACCATATTGACTATAGATTTTATCAATTTCTCACGCGCCTCTGTGCCCGGCTGCCCTTCTTTAATCTTTACCACTGGGACTTCCATTATTGTGATGGCCTGTAAAAATGAAGAATTGACGTCAACCTGGCAACCCAAAGCTGATAAATTTCCCAGGCTGGAGGGCCTTACAACCTGTCAGAACCGAGATGAGAACTTCAAACAAATGTCAAGAAAAGTCCAGGAGGAGGTTCTGCTATGTTAAGTTGCGTAAGAGCAGGGAGAATAGATTACTAAAAGAAGCAGCTACATCTGAAGTCTTCTCACATTATGTCAAGGGCAAAGAGAGGAGACTTTCAGGAACATCCCCATCCTCCCGAGCACTACATGTGAAGTTTTCATCCCGAATCCACACACATTTAACCTCATTTATCAAGCTGAGCCTAAATGCCCCATCACTGACCTGCGTTCCCTCCAGACGCAACTGTCAGAGCAAATGAAGCAACATTCATAAACTTTCTTTCGTCAGTTAACTCCCAACAGCCACATACCACTTGTCAGAGTAAGAATGTGAAGTAAAATGTTCATCAGCATCGAATCCAGTTCAGAATCAGAGAGAACGCGGTTCTCAAAAACTGCTGGTTCAAGCTACTGACACACTTGGCCAAATTCTGCATCTGTCCTGGACTCAATCAGCTCAACCAGATATTTCATCAAATGAAACAAAGACCTACTAAATGTCTACTGTTGTATAATAATCATAAAAACATACAGCATAATAAGACGAAGAAGAAACATTTTTGTGACAAGTGGCATTTCATCATAAGTAGGAGCCCAATTTATCACTGCATGACAAAAACAAATAAATAAATGAATTAAAAACAGCAAAACAACTCCATTGTCATAGGCACATTTGAAAATATTTTTAATTATAAATGTACCCATCATTAGCGGGTGCTATAGCAACTGCTAAAATGAATACACTGCTGTCAAATTTTGGGGACAAAAGGAGTTTTGGGGGGAAAACATTATTATTGAGCAAACATGCATTAAACTGATCAAAAGTAAAGACTTTTATATTGTTACAAAACATATTTGAAATAAAAGTTATTCTTTTGAACTTTTGATTCATTAAAGAATTCAGAAAAAAATATCACTGTTTCCACAAAAATATTATAATTGCTCAACATTAATATTAATAAGAAATCACCAAATTAGCATATTAGAGTGATTTCTGAGGGATTATGTGACACTGAAGACTGGAGTAATGATACAGAAAATTCAGCTTTGCGTCACAGGAATAAAATACATTTTAAAATATTCAAACAGAAAACAATTACTTTTAAATGTAATATATCACAATTATGTTTTCACTGTATTTTTGATCAAATAAATGCAGCCTTGGTGAGCAGAAGAGAACATTTAAAAAATTGTACTGACCCCAAACTTTTAAACGGTAGTGTACATGCAAACATGTCACAGCATATATTATTTATTATTTATATATTTATTTTTTATGCCACGTCAGCAGCAAGATTTCTGTCTTCAAGGAGATAAGTGACACAATTAACAAGAAGCTAAGACATTTAAGGTTAATTAAACTACTGTTTTAATTTCAGATTTATTTTAATTTTAAAGGGGTCATATGATGCGATTTCATTTTTTCCTTTCTCTTTAGAGTGTTACAAGCTCTTGGTGCATAAAGAAGATCTGTAAAGTTGCAAAGACTAAAGTCTCAAATCCAAAGAGATATTCTTTATAAAAGTTAAGAGTTAGCCACAGTCGCAATTACCTTTTTTATTCAGTGGCAGAAACGGGCTTCCATACTAAGCTGACCAACACAAAATGACCTCCTTCCTGTTAGCAAACTGATTACTTTTAATCAGATTAGAAGATTTAGAAACTTTTCTTCTCCAGCTGAACTCACAATGAACTTGAAATACTTCAGAAGGGTCTGATATATTATTTTACCTCATTAATGTAGCTCATCTTGCTTCAGTGCAAATCTATATAAAGCTCAACATATATAAGCTCAACTCTCTTCTATGGTACCTGAAGAGCTTTTTCAAGTTCTGCAATGTTGCCGGCCTCCCCCACCAACACCACTCTCGTCTCAACTTTGGGCAATACATCTGAAAAAAGAAAAAAAAAATAGAGTTACAAAAGACCACACGCAAAGGTGAATCTCTATAGAAATAGACAAAATAGAGTGGGAGAAAATAACCTCTTCTGTTATGTTTGTGCTCAGTAAAACGGTGTACCCCATGGAAATGTCAGTTGATATAAGGTTGATCGAGATGGAGGGCGGTTCACTTACCCTCTGACTCGTCTACGTGTAGACCCATGAAAAATTGCTCCTTTGAGGTCTCGGCCATCCGGGAGTCGTATACGGAGGAGTCTACCAGCAGGCTGCGGCCCGGCCCTAAAGTAACTATGCTGCTGTCAGCCATGGCACTGTGACAAGGGGTGGCGACCCAGTCCTGTCCACAATATCACAAGCTGGAGGAGCGAACAAGGGCGGCACACAATTAAGAGACAAACAGTTGAGTTTCTAAGAGGGAATGATCAAGGTTAAAGGAAGGAGAGAATCAATATATATATATATATATATATATTATATTATAATATATATATAAATATAAATCTACACCAAATTTTATCAAAGCTTACTTAAGATCTTTAAAAAATGCAGCTGCATAAATGCAACAAATAATTAATCTGAATGCAACATTACATTAATAAAAAGCTATATGTCTATATGTATGTATTAAAATGCACATTTTAACAGGTAACGAAAGAAAGCATCACATATTGTAAAGATCTGTCAGGTTTTTAGAGAGCAATGCGGTGACAGCTGATTGGCAGCTGCAATGCACTTCAGTGATATGGGCTAGCACAATAGCTAGCTAACTTCTAAACAAAGGAAATTCTTTCCAACAGAGTGTTGTATTTAGAATTAAGCAGATGCATGATGGAAACTCACCGTATGAAAATGGGACAAGTCCAGATATGTACTGGAAAGGTTTTGACGAATGAAGAAACACTGAGTTCAGCTGAGCAATCTGGGTTAATGTTAGCCGAACTCTTGATTAAAACTAAAGCGTGCGCACATAAACACCGCTCTCCGCGCAATGACACATAAAGTTAGTCTAAAGTGCAAAATTAACTAACGATTAAGTTAGGAAAATACGTTTTGATAGAATAGTAAGCCCATTGTGTACGCTCTTTTGATAGGTGGCTCTGTTCAACTCACTCACTGAATTCAAAAAAGCAAGCGAACATGAGAGCCCAACGCCGATTGGCTGAGAGTGAAGAGCTCGGCGGAAGTTCTGAGGCGACGCCTCTGATTGGCTGATGAATTCAAACGGCGACGCATGGCACGCTGTGGAGTCAGTGAGCAGCTCTCTGTCCCTGAATGAATGAGACGTTTTAGTGAAATGAACTGTATTTAACATTGTGATTAAAACACAAGATACTGATGTAAACACAATGCTGCAATGCAACTCATAAAGCATCCAGGAAAAAGTTACACGCGAACTAAATGAGAATGTTTAACAAATAAAACAATGAAACTTATTGTTCATCATCAACATTACGTTAAGCATAGTTTCCATCGAAATGTAATTATTGTAAATCGTCATAAATATAATATAATAATGGATTTTCAAGTGTAAAAGTATTAGTATTATAATTTATTATATGATATTATGCTTCTACACTTGAAAACCCCATGGTATTTTAATATAATAATATAATATAATATAATATGGGATTTTTAAGTGTAGAAGCATTAGTAATATATATTATATTATGCTTCTACACTTGATAACCCCATGGTACTATATAATATAATATAATAATATAATAAACATGGGATTTTCAAGTATAGAAGCATTAGTAATATTTAGATTATTATGTCATACTGTATTATCTATAACTTATACTTCTTGAAAACCCCATATTAATTCATTATGGTTTATAATGGTAGCAACTACTGTAGTAATAATAGTATTTTAATGGAAGCTATGATTACCATGGTAGATTATGATAATTTGTTAATCAAACTAAATCAAGTCAATGTTTTATTGAACAAGTGAATGCATGATTCAATTATGAAATGTATAAAATTCTCATTTTCATTCGTTCACATCTTAAATCTGAACATTCTTGTCCAAAAACCCATCATCCTGCACTGTCCCGATGTGATGTCACCCCATTAACTTCCTTTAACCTGAGCAAAGAGACTCAGCCTGCCCTCCCCTTTCCTGCTGACAGAAGTCTCCTTCTTTCTTCTGCCCGGCCTGCTTTCAGGGGACAACGACTCGTGATAAATAGACTGCCAGGTGTCTTCAAAATCTTTAGACACCTGAAGCCAAGGACAAAGTGAAGGCAGCCTGAGTGCACTTTTTTAAAATTCCGTTTCAATGCTTGTCACATCTCTCTGGGTCTTTGTGTCCTGCTCTCTCCACTCTCTTTCCTTCTCGTCCGCCCCTCAGGAGTTTTGGGGAGTTTGAAAGACACCCTCTGTAGAACAAAGCCCAGTGAATCTTGCCTGGCCCTCTCTCTCGTTTCTGTCCTCCTCTTAGATGCACACTTCAGTGTCACACACTCTCTTAAAAAGCTTCTAATTACAACCAAAACAGCCTGATGCACCAGTTTTCAACCTGAAGGTTCTTGGAAGAAGTCCATGGAGAACATTTTAAAAAATGTCATTACATCTTCATGACATTTCTAACTTATATTTGGTTGGGTTTAATAGTCTCCATATGCAAAGTCACAGACATTGTTTTATAACGAATGTATTTCATTATGCATTTGGAAATGTATAGTTATGTAATATATATTCACATCAGCTGTAATGTCGTCCGTAAGGAAGCTGTGCAAATCAAAATATTCACATATAAATGAACAGAATAATGATACTACCAAGAATCACATCAGCATTCAATATCAAATCTTTGTGCTTAGATATTAACAGACCCTGGACCACAAAACCAGTCATAGGGGTCAATTTTTGAAATTGAGATTTATACATCATATGTAAGCTGAATAAATAAGCTTTCCATTGATGTATGGTTTGTTAGGATAGGACAATATTTGGATGAGATACAACTATTTGAAAATCTGGAATCTGAGGGTGCAAAAAAATCTAAATATTGAGAAAATCGCCTTTAAAGTTGTCCAAATGAAGTTCTTAGCAATGCATATTACTAATCCAAAATTAAGTTTTGATATATTTACGGTAGGACATTTACAAAATATCTTCATGGAACATGGTCTTTACCTAATATCCTAATGATTTTTGGCATAAAAGAAAAATCGATAATTTTGACCCATACAATGTTTTTTTGGCTATTGCTACAAATATACCCCAGCGACTTAAAGACTGCTTTTGTGCTCCAGGGTCACATTTAAGAAACAATCGGAAAGTAATTAAACTATACCATCGTTAAATCGCAATCATATGTGGATATCGGCGGTTATGAGACAAAACTTTTGGCATCATTACGACATTCACTGTCATCCAGTTCTTCATGTCAAAGCAGGAAGGATACAGTACATCTGATTTCTGCATTCGTTTTAGCACAAACTGACAACATTCATGAGCAATACTGTAAAATAACAGTATCAGATGCTTTTACAGTACAGCTGGAATATTTTTGCTACAACAATCATATTTTCTGAAATACATATAAAAACATCTCCAGAGTAAATATCCCACATTTTTACTACGTTTCGAGATTATTTATGTACAACCAGACCACGATAGAGATGAATATAATATATCAAGTAGAGGCAAATATTTGAAGAGGATTAAAGCTATTCAGCTTTACAAACAGCGGTGGAACAAAGCTTTACAGATGGCTTATACAACTTTCATGTCAGAATATAAAAGAGAGTATAAATATTGTACATTACATTAGAGAATATTAATTCATCAAAAGTGCTGTGTTTCTGACCAACAGTCTCATAAGCAAACAAGCAATAAGCAACAAAACAATCAAGTATATCTGAAGGAACAGTTCAGTCTAAAATGAAAAGAATTGCTGGTAGCCATTGAAAAAATACTATGGAATCAGTGGCTATTTCTTCAAAATATCTTCTTTAGCAGAAGAAAGAAATTCATAGAGGTTTGGGATAACATGAGAGTGAGTAAATGATCATTTTTGGGTGAACGATCCCTTTAAGCATTTCAGTGAAAGTTTCAGCAGGACAGAAAGGTCTGGAGTCTCTTCTTCTCAGTGTTTTCAAATGGCAGCCTCGGTGCAGATATCAGTGTCCGGCGTTCACAGAGATCCGGATATTTCTTTTCAAATGCCTCTGCGTTTGCTGCTAAGACACAGCAGAGGGAAAGAACGAAGGCTGCATGCTGAATTTCTGACTCACGACTACAGAATGTTGTCAATGTTATGTGGAATCCGTTCTGATCGGTCAGTTCACCTATTCCTTCAGCGGAGCAGATGTCTGTGTAGTATTAGAAAAGATATCGAGCTGTTGTCGAGTATGGTGTATGAGCATCACGGTGCGTTCAGCATGCAAATCTGCCGTCCTGAGCGGGATGCGGCCCGGTGCTGTCGTCTGCCTCCTCTGTATCGGTGAGGGCAGCGGTGCAGAGGTCACTGAAAATATCTAAAAAGCAGAGAATGAGAAGATGAGTGACGTACTATACAGTTTTTATCCCCATCGAGAGCAACAGGAAGCGGGTGGCAAAATAAAACCAGACCTTGCAACAGCCCTCAATCACAGCAAGGACAAGATCCGTACAAACAAGAAAACAGAAATGGCATGGCAAAGATGCAAACCTTCAGAGTTATTCCTGTGCTTTACTTCTTTTTAAACGGGATGAGGGTGTTTTGTTTCTGCCGGTAAGCACAGGTGGAGAAGCATGAAGAGCAACATGAAAAGCATACAAACACAACAATATATTCAGCTCCAGACAGCTGCAGGGCTCAACAATAAGGATTAATCTATGAGATGATAAGGATGAAGCAATACAAATATTTTTTTGTAAAGGAAACCTAACTTTAATTAAAAAAATATATATATATATGCACATATATACTGTATATTTTTTCTAACATTTTCCTAAATATAATACTAAAAACCAATGGCAAAATCACAGGAATTATATAAATGGAATTATACAGAAATTATATATTACAGGAATTATATATAACTATATGAGTATGTGTCTTCTGTGAAGAAAACTGTAATTAAAATATATTTAAATGGTTTTTCCTGTCACACATATAATATAATGTAATATAATATAATATTCATAAAGTAAACATATTTTTCGCTGACGTCAGCTAAAAATATGTTTACTTTATGAACGCTTTTATGAATTTATGATTCATTAATTTATGAACTTTTTGGGGGGCATAAATGAATACTTTAATTTAACAAGGATGCATTAACATTTACATTATTACATAAGATTTGTATTTCTAAATAAATGCTGTTCTTTTGACATTTCAGGGTTTAGATAAAATATCGAGCATTTCAACTGTTTTCAACATTATCAGCATGATTTCTGAAGGATCACGTGACACTGAAGACTGGGGTAATTGCTCCTAAAAATTATGCTTTGCAATCACAGGAATAAATGACATTTTAAAACATATATAGAAAATATCATTTAAATTGTAATAATATTTCACAGTATTACTTTTTGTGCTGTATGTTTATTTTATGTATATCTGTTGTATATGTAAAATGCCAGCAGGGCAAAAATCCTTATAGTTGAGTTCAGAGCCGCCTCTGCACTTAGTCAAAGCTTTAAAGAAATAAGCAGCAACTTGTTACTATAGGAGACCAAGGGTTTTGAGAAAACAAGACAAACAAGACCAAAAGTGGCATTGTGAGCACGCCAAGTTTTCATGGAATGAAGTGCATGCTTGTGGAGGGGATGTCATGCACACCTCCTAAAAAAAAGCAGACTGCGCAAAGAGGTGCCTCCGTCAGTCTCGCCACCCACTGATCTATAGATCTCAAACTACAGCCGGCTTGTCTCAAGACAGTGCCGTGTGTGCATTCACATGTATTTGAGTGAGAAGGGACTGAGTGACATCAGAGGTCAAAGTGCATCATCATCTAATGTAGATGTAGACCACACACAGTACAGCAGCTAGCACTGTATGTGTCCAATAGCTATGAATGAATTTTCTGGTGACCATCAGTCCAGACTAAGTGATGTCAGTCATGCCCTTCTGCTGCTCGTCCTCTGGGATTGGTGTGCGGTACCAGAGTTACTGTAAAGGTCTACTCCCTCTGCTGTGGACTGCAGGACAGTGGGCGGCACCAGTCC